AATTCCAGTGAAATGAGTCTTGCATTTTCAGATAATGCTCCAAAACTACCTCTTGCTGAATTGCCTTATTCTGAGTATAACTTCCTAGAATGTCATAAAGCTTCATTTGAATCCAAATTTTCTACCTTTCCTTTTTTTTTTAATTCACCCGTGCATGCAAAATAGAAGTGCAAATTTGAAGGTCCTCAAAGGCAGATTAGCCAGCCCCTTATTTTAAAAGAGTTTATATTACAATGTACTGTTTGGCTGAGGAAGTTTGTACATGGTATGTTAAAGTAAGGCCAGTCTCTTAGCAATTTCATATTGAGTTGCACTTCTGTTTAAAAGATATAGGCAGCCATGGGCCACTTCATATGTAAGTGGCAATTGATAACCCAAATGCAGCTCACATATGATTCTATGAGCTGCATTGGGGCTATTGATTTCCATTTAAATGCTTCATTTTCCAAAAGTAATTTTTTTTTTGTCAGCGTAATTCAATTGACACTGAAAGCAGAGGACTATACTTTGGTCTCGGCTCATATAAAGTCAGAATTATCTCAGGTATGGTTGAGAACAGGATCTGGCCCAGGATTTTGCAGCTGGGCAATGTTGAGTCTCTTTTGGTTCCTTCTCATTAATATCTGATTTTTATTTCAGTCATAAATCCACTATTGCAGGATCTGATGATGGGTTTCAAGGAAACAAAACACAGGATCCAAAACAACTGCATGCTGAGTCTTTGAAGTACAATGGCAATGAAATGATGCACATGCACTCAACCCCCTTCCCTCCCAGTGAATATGAGAGCTTTGGAAATGTAAAGGATCTGATTTAGAAATGGAGGATTTTCAATATAGAGCCAATCATTTTCTGAAGGTATCAGCCTGAAGACTATACGTCAGAAATTGAAATCTGGCAGGTCCTTCACCAGGGAACCCCATGCTATCTGCCCAACTTTTCCTCTAATAAACATGGGAACTTCATAAACCTTCATTTGCTTTAGGACAACTGCATCTCCCTCTGGTTCTAGTATAAGTAGTATAAGGGGTAAACCTCATGTCAAACTATTAAGCCCTGCCTGTTGACAGGTACCCCGCCCCATGGCTGCCATCTTGGGACCAGAAGTTGTCCTGCCGCCTGCCTCCCTCCCCTGCAAAAAGTATTCCTTTTGCACTGGGTTTCCAGCCTTGAGCCAGAACTCCTGGCCCATCTTGTGGTCTGTGACATCAGAAACCTCACCCACTGGCCTTCATATTGACTGTCATGTTGGCCACGATGCTGGCCCCAAAACCTCTTGCTGCACTGTAACATGGTCCATGATACCAGAAACCCCACCCCTGCTGCAGCATCTCATGGGCCATGACATCAGAAACCTCACTCCCTGGCCACAATGTTGGTGACCATTTTGACTGCCATGCTGGTCCCAGAACCCACTGCTTCAGAGTCGTATGGTCTGTGACATTGTAGCAAAATCCTCAGTTTTTTCTTTTAGACTTAAAAATGCATTCCCTCCCCTTCCCCAGCCATTTCTGACTTTCTCTCTACCCTCTCTATCCCTTACATGTGGTTACAAGTAGTAGTAGGTAAGCTAAGTTGCACTCCAATAAGCAGTATACGAAGGAAGCTCTGCTTCAGAGCTCTACTTCAGAGACTCAGTTCATAGAAACACCAGAGGTAGGGGGCCCAGGGTGGAGACCTCTAAAAGCACTATCAAAAAGCCACAGACCTGCTCAGCCTGATGAACAAAACACCCGGGGATCAGAATGCCAAAAGGACAGAGTAGAAAGACACAGTAAAGAAAACAAAAGACTGCATGGTTCCTCTGCGAAAAACACACCACCAAACCCTGAGAGAACCAGGCGTGAAAACATAAGGGTTCACATTTCCCAAACAAGTGATTTGGGGTGTGCAAATAAGAAACTCAGGACTGATTGTTCACACACTTTAGAGATGCCTAAAGGAGAAGGAAGAGATTCTTAACCGTTTTTTGAACCATCATGATTATTGTGAAAAAAGGAGGTCCTTGGGGAGTGCTGGCAGGCATATACATTGCAGAAAGAACATGCAGAATGCTTTGAAAGATCACGACTATTGTCAGAGCAAAAGGGTAGATTTTGTTCAGAGGGGAGCAGTCTGTATGGTCTGGACAGCAGTCATGGCATGCATCATAAGGGGAGAGGAGGTGATACCCTGGGGTAAGAACGGGGGGCTAATCAGCAAGTACCTTACAGGGCAAAATAGTAAGGGCTTGGTTAAAGATGAGAGTGGGGAAGGCAAAACACCTATTAATACAAAATAAGAGATTCCCTAGTGATGGTGATTTAGAAGACCTGTTGGAGGATCCCTGGGATGCTCCCACTCCTCCCAGACCTGCCGAGTCAGAGAGCTGGGGTGGTGAACATGTTTTAGAAGGCACTCTGGAGGGACCCTGCCCCTCAAAAGCCCCCCTCCTTTCAAGCCTGTGGAGTCAGAACAGAGATGGCAAGTGTAATTTAGAAGCCCCGTTGGAGGATCCTGCAAATGCTGACCCTCCTGGGGTTGTGAAGGCTGTCTTGCCAGACATACATATGGCATGGGTGAGAAGGTGGGCATGGCCCGTAGCTAGGCTTGGAAACCCAAGGTATGCAGAGGAGTTTCATTTTGTGGATCTGAATCTAGATCTTGTGCCATTACTCATGGCATAGAAAGTCATAAGCAGGGGAGGACAAATTGTAGAACAAATTGTAGCATATCATCACCAGAGATTCATGCCTGTTGATTATGACCATACTCAGTACATACAGTTATGTATTGAGGCAGACAGCATGAGGAACTGCTTACATTCTCGAGCTATTAAATTCATAGATTCATAGATACTAGGGTTGGAAGGGACCTCGACAGATGATTGAGTCTGACCCCCTGCCTAGGCAGGAAAGAGT